TCAAGATGCTTGAACAGCCAATTTAAACGGTTGAACAGCTAATTAAAACAGTTGAACAGCTAATTAAAATGGTTGAACGGCTAATTAAAATGTGCATTCAATAGATTGAAAGTCCATGGTTTTACTGTATTTACTAGGCCAGAGCATTTGCTAGATGAAAGGTGTTTTCAGTTTAAATAATATGTGTCAATTGAAAAATAAAAAAAACACATCTTCATTCCTTTATAATTGTGATGATTACAAAGTGAAGGATAGGTGTCTGAATTTGTAAAATTAAAGACTTACCCAATCAAAATTATTTCGAATGTTTTTGCAATAACTTAAAAAGTAGTGGAGGAATTTTGTAAAAATGATAGTCATGGCAGTGAGGGAATTTGCTATGCCTTAGCATTGTTGTTATCTAGATAATATACTTGTGAGTGAGACAATCCCCATCCTTCAAGGTTAGATGGAAATTGGTTCAATATATTTTCATTCACAAGACAAGTTTACCAAACTGTTTCAATACTTTAAATACCTTTTTGATCAAACCACTTAAACTCTGACATGTATGCATGAAATACACACATTTAAAAAAAATATTTTAAAGAACAATATAATAATTTTGTGTTGAGATAATATTGCCATAGTTTTCAAGGGTTGCATTTGATTGAAACGGTTGCAAGAAAAGGTTAAAACTGTATTTTAGACTTGAAATCGGGTCCCAAAAATTACAATTTTGGAGTACCCGATCAAAATTAATAGTCAATCATTAAGGCTGAAGAAACGTTTCAATCAATTCAATTCAATTCTAAAACCATACATTTTCACATACAACCACCCTCCCACCCTTAACTAAGGAGAGAAGCAAAGTCAGACAACTGATCATAGAGCGTGACACAAATATATCCTTTATGCAATTAATAGTCTATAAAGTACATTCTCCTGTTTTATATGAAAATCAATGAAGAATTATGGTGTAAAAAAAGAAACTTGGGATTGTTTTCATGGATATTTGGGTGGTAGTTTCAAAGAGAAAATGTAATCATAACCACAAAGTGTAAATATCATAAATATATACTTATGTGTTGCCTTAAGACAACAAACTTTGTTGTTATGGACAGTTAGATTGAAAATAGAAACTGATTGTCAAAATATGTTTTGATTGAAAAAGCATGATTTATTTCTTAATTTTACCCCTTGGTGATGAAAGGATTAATACCTAATTTGGCATTCAGTGAAAATTCGAATAGAGGTTAGATTCTTAAAGCTGATACTCTCAGCTTACTGAACACAGCTGGCTCAAAAGCCAGCTGACGAACCGTTAAAATATATCGTCTTGTGAAGTGGTTTTTTCCAAACTTCCAGCATGCGTGCTGGACTAAGTAATGGTATTTAAGAAGATAATTGAATGTAACTTGCCCTTTTCATGATGCGTGATGACAATAAGTCCTACTTGTTGTGTAATTTGCTTGTTAAAGTGCATAAATTCAAACCTGGTGCGCACCATTTTTAAACTTTTTGCGCATACATGCACATGCTCATTGTACTTTACAAGCGCATGGGCATTGCCGCTGAAAAATTACGTGACTATTCATATTTAGCTAACGAGAGTTATTTTGTAGCAAATCTTTACTTTCGAAAGTCAAGAGATCTCGCAAGACCTAAAATGGCTGCAATCCACTACAACAACAGACTGATCAAAATAAGGTAAGAACAAATAAATTATGTATTGATTCAAATATATATTGTATTATAAACGCTACTCAGCATAGCGTTTATTCAAAATGGGCTCAATTTTTTCTCTTCACAGAATTTTAGATCCAACTTCCCAGAGCTGACTTCTGTCAGCTCGGTAGAGTAACTCTCAGCTTTCCAACCTTATATTTGAACCTTAGTGCAGAAGATCACTAAGGAGCGCACTTAGAGGCTCTATTTTGCTCAAGTATTGTGAATAATTAGTCATTTCATTTCTATAAAATTCTAATCATATATATATATCGGGTGTCCCAAAAAATGAGACACTTTTTGACAATTTTTTTCTTGGCAACTGATGAATAAAATTTACTGAAAATTTTTAGAAAGTAACTTAAGAGTATCAATAGTAAGTTGTAGTAATATAAAAAAGATCAAGTAAATATTCTCTTAGTACTAAGAAATTAAAAATAGCATGTCAAAAATTCCACTATCAGAGCTCTGTGATGAGACCTCTATAGTGTTTGTACCAGCTTTCAGCTCATAGCATCATCTATCAATCAGTCAAAATAGCTTGTCTGTGTTTCATGTCTAATTAATTTGTTTCATTAACTCTATGAATGATGGAGAAATATTCTTGAGACAATCTGACAGGAAATTAAATTATCATAAACATCTGAAAGTTTCATTAGATAATATTATTTAGTTTTAGGGAAAAGTTTGCGTTTAACATCTGGGGTCTCATTCAGCTCAGCATTTATCATGATGAAGGTCTTTTAGAGCATGTCATGTAAAATGTCAAAGGATAGGTATCGATATGGAGAACTGAATTCAACAATGTTCTTGAAACAATCATTGAAAACATTCTGTAAAAAAACATGGTATTTTATGTAATGTTGACTGATTGACAACAATTTAATGCAAAAATTATTTAGAAATATTTTATATAACTGTTTTTGTTGACATTTTTTGTTTTCTTAGTGCAATTGTTTTTGCTCCTTTCTACCAATTCTTGAGAATGAAATAAAATGTCTTTCTGAACCTTGTTGGAACAAAATAGCATATACAACATGTTTTTAGACCTCTCAATATATATTCAATGCTTTATTGTACTAAAAATCCCTTTCGGGTGAGTGTACAGCAAATAAACATGATAAAATAAAACTAAAACTATACATACAATTACAATAACATACAATGCAAATTTTACATGGCATATAATGACAATATAATGTGATTGACTGATCATTAGATATATACCAACAACTACTATTAGCCTACACCTACATGTATATATTTATATTGATAATATAGTTGTTGATCTCTTTTCAATTATTTCATAAAGGTATTTTGCAAAGGTGATACACATGTTACCCTCAGCATTAAACATATAATTAGCCTTTTCTTCGGTAGTCAATACAGTTAGATTTGGGCAAATCGAGTTAAACGTATCAAAGTATTCATATCTCATTTTTTCCAATTTTTGGCACTCAAAAATAAAATGAGTTTCCGTACCAGTGGTGATTTTACATAATTTGCATTTTCTTTGATCTCTCGGAACTATTGGTCTTGTATACCTTCCTCGCTCTATTTCTAAATTGTGTGCACTTATTCTTAATCGCGTCATAGATTTCCTATGTTCGGCGTTCTTTATTAAATTCAAATATGGTTCTTTTCCCCATCGTTGTTTGATATTATTCAAAAATTCTAATTTCCCTTTATTATCATTGACAGTTTTTTCCCAATATTTTATATATCTTTTTTCAAGGATTTTCTTAATATCAAGCGGTTTACTTTTAATGTAATTTTTATCTTGTGGTTGAACATATGCCATTATTTTATCAATGTCATAGTACCATGATGGTTGATTATGAACTTTTGATAGTTCAATACTATCTGCATATGCATTAATTAGTAATGAACTCGTTCCTTCATTTTCTATATGATCTAAGTATTTAACTTGTTGGTAAAATATATTGATAAACAGAGGGAATCTACCTAACTCACCCATCGTAGCTAAATTACTTGTTTTTCTATGCACCCCTAATAGAAACTTCAAAAAAGATAGATGTAGTAATTCCGGTGGAAGTGACTTGTCATATTTCATTTCAAGGCCAAAATCTTTATTTTTCAGAAGATCTTTATTAGTTATTAGACCAGCACCCCAGATTTCACATCAATATAATAAAATTGGTTTTACTAATATGTCAAATAATTTCAGGCACAAAGTTAGGTTAATATCACCATGTGTAAGCATACTTATCAATTTGAATTTCGCCTTTTCTGCTTTTTCTTTAATAAAGATTGCAGCTTGTTTCATCGATCCGTTGGCATGGAATTCCATACCCAAATAAGTATACTTTGATACGTTTTCAATTACCTGGTCCCCAATGTAGAATATATCATTACATCGTTTACCACTTTTATTTTATTATTCAGAATATTAAAGCTATACAAAGGAATTTTTGGTTGATTTTAAAAAAGTATTCAAAAAATTAAAACAAAATCCCCCCAAAATAGATAAAAATCAAGAAAACCCTTTTATTTCATTAACAAGATACTTTTTTAAAATCAACCAAAATTTCCTTTGTACAATTACAATATTGAGAGACCTAAACATGTTGTGTTTATGTCGTTTTGTTCCAATGAGGTTCGGAAAGATGTTTCATTTCACTCTGGAAACATGATACCAAGAACAAAGTGTTTGATGTGTTTTTTAAAACAATATAGATGAAAGTATGTATATCTATTTCAAATTATATTGTTTCCATTCAAAAGATGGCCATTAAATTGACAATTTGTAAGATTTTCAGAAATTTTTGATGACCGGTTTAAGAGAAACGTGTGTTCAAAAAGTTCGCCATATCGATACCATTTCTTTCTCAGTTAGTAATTTACAAATTTCTAAGAATTTTGAACTGCTAATTCAAAAATTAATTTGCTTTATCATGTGAAAAGGCTGCTTTTTTCAATGGAGGAAAAATGTTATCCATCTTATTTTTTTCTTTTTGCAGCAGTAATATAACATTCAATAATATTCTAACAGCTTGATATTCTTTTGGATATATAAAGCATTTAATTACAATAGTTTGTTATGAAATAATGGCTTGTTCACTATACTACTTCTTGCTGAATATTCTTATAAAAAACTAAATTTGAATAAGGAAAGAAAATGGAAAAATGAGAAATGCAGGTATTATATTATATTCAGCATTTTCTACACTATACTATTCCTGTTTCATTTTGGTATAAAGTTTTTGGGACACCCGGTACATAACCTAAGTAGTAACCTAATAAGTATTTATATGTACTCTGTGAAGCATTACCTCATCTAGCAGGTCATCTTCTAGCTGGCCATGGTCATCTATGTTACCAAATAGGAACCCTGTAAGGACTGCATTATGGTCCTCCTCATCACTCTCCATGGTACACTACATTAATTGCATTATACCTGAAATCATAGAATTTGGGAATAAAAAGACTGATTGATTTGGTGGGTGGAAGGAAGAAAACTGTATGTACAGGAGAACCAAGTAATGACAGTCTGTAACATAGCACTACCATCAACAACCAGGAAATGAAGTCTTATCATGAAATTGTATGAATATTGAAACACATTATTTATTGAGGTATGAAAAAAACTATCAAAATAGTGCTCTCCTCACACTGACATCTCTGAGGAGTAGAAGTTAAGTTTACTCAAAAATGATGTTAAGACTTTACATAAACGATTTTAACAGAAAATCCAAAATGGCTGCTTTAACATTTACCCATAATGCTGAAAAACTAATGACTTCTACATTTTCATACTATAAATCAATCCAAAATATTTGATTTCAATCCGTCAAATGGTTATTTTGATAATGAGTAGACAAGACACATACACAATTTTAGGACCAAAAATCCAAAATGGCCACCTTAATATTTACCCAGAATGTCAAAAAATGTAATCAGTTTTCGATTTTCAAACTAAGAATCATACCTGAAAATTTGAAATTGATCAACTGAAACAATTAACCTGAAAATGTGTAGACAGTATATCTGAGTTAAACAAGGCACATGAAATGAACAAGATAACACCATTGAAAAACTTTCAAAATGGCCGCCAGAAAAAATGGCTGCCCAGAGAGTTTATCAGCTCTAGAACTTGATACTTTCTATCATGTGTGCAAATTTGGAGACAATCTAATAAGAGGTTTTCCTGAAATGGCAATGACAAGATTTTCCGAAAAACCTTCAAAATATCCCCAAGAAAACAAGATGGCTGCTCAAAAGTTAATCAGCTTTAGAACTTGATATCCTCTATCATGTGTGTGAATTTGGAAAAAATCTGATGACCAGTTTTCCTGAAATGGCGATGACAAGACTTTCCAAAAAAACTTCAAAATGGCCACCAAAAAACAAAATGGCCACCCAAAAGTTAATCAGCTCTAGAACTTGATATCCTCTATCATCACATCACACCCCATTCTCTTATATGTCATAACACCAGAAGTTTACGACGTTATACCCATGCCCAGTATTTTTGGCGGGAGATGTAAGATCTCATTTGTTTCGACGTTTTGACAGAAAGTGCATGGTTTTCCTGAAATGGTGAGACAAAATTTCGGAAAACCTTCAAAATTGCCACCAGAAAACAAGATGCGCACCCAAAAGTTAATCAGCTCAAGAACTTGATATCCTTAAATGAGTGGTTTTCCTAAATTGGCAATGACAAGATTTTCCACAAAACCTTCAAAATTGCCTCCAGAAAACAAGATGGCCACCAAAAAGTTAATCAGCTCTAGAACTTGATATCCTTTATCATGTGTGGGAATTTGGAAAAAATCTGATGAGCGGTTTTCCTGAAATGGCAATGACAAGATTTTCCAAAAAAAACTTCAAAATGGCCACCAAAAAACAAAATGGCCACCCAAAAGTTAATCAGCTCTAGAACTTGATATCCTCTATCATCACACCCCATTCTCTTATATGTCATAACACCAGAAGTTTACGACGTTATACCCATGCCCAGTATTTTTGGCGGGAGATGTAAGATCTCATTTGTTTCGACGTTTTGACAGAATATGGTCCTTTAATTCTCTTTCGTGTAAAAATTGATTATACCATGCAGATATACCTCCATTTCATCTAAACATGGTCTAAATCTTCTCAAACCTTCTAGAAAGCATGACAATTTCTTGAAAAAAAAGATAACTTTTCACGAAAACCATCATACTTTCTACAATTGTAGCCCATCATCTTGGAATATTGATAATAATAACAAAACAAAACTTTTAGATAAGGTGGAAAACAATATTTTCCATGTTATTTTCCCATTGAGAAAACTCAGGCGATCCATTGCTTTCAGCCAATTTTGGTCACCCATTATGGATATCCCCTGGAGGAATCACTTATTCCTTTAAAGTGGTTAACTGTGTGTATGGAAGGGGTTGAAAATCAGGAAAACATTTCAGAAAAACATGTGGGTGGGTTGTTTGCATCTACCCTGTCTCAAAGTCGAAATTATTTTATCATCTCTAGAAATGCTTTTCCTGGAGGTAATGCATTGGCCTAACATATGCACCTGTTTAAATCCTCAGAAAATAGCCCAAATCTAACATATGACTGTCCAAAATCTGTTGCGCTCATTTCCCTCCTCCTTTGATCGAGATTTGCATTTTTCACCCATACATCTAGTCAAATCAGGTATTTATGGTACTTTTTAGTCTTCTAAATGTCACAAGCACATATTCATGCAAAAATTTGTAAGATAGCATTCAATGTTGAAGTGAAATACTGGATTGAAATATACGAAGTGTCTGGAGTACCTTAAAATTTAAAGCTCTTTAGCCCAAATGCTAAAGAGCCTTAAAATTTAAGGCTATTTAGCTGTGAACATAGTGTTTTGGCTAGAGAGCCTTTGTGTTTATAATCCGTGTTTATATTGTTTTTTATTGAAGTTTTCGTCAATTAAACAATAAAACAACACTCTCGAAAGTTTTTCAACCCAGAATGCCACTTAAAAATTTCACACATGTATATCAGTATAGAGTTGCAAAAAATTTGTCCAATCGTGTAAAAACACTCTGGTATAGTGGTTAGGGTGCTCGCTTTTCACTTCTGCGGCGTGGGTTCGATTCCCAAATGGAGCTCTTTTTTATTAGAATAACAAGCAGGAAGTTTGTTCTCTGAGGTCCGGAAATTATGTACACAATTTTTTCTAGAATTCTTGGGCTTGCTCCATCGCTCAATCATCAATGTTTAATGAAATTAATCACTTGTATTGGCTTTGCTATAGTCACAAGCTTAGAGAATACAGGGAATCCCATTTTAAGATGGCAAAAAGTATGATGAAGACCTGGAGATGGAAAAGGATCTTGTTTCTTCTAGATACAGCACATCTTGACGCAGTTTATCGTGGATACAGGGACATCAGCCCAGGGACATCACAGAATACACTTCCAAATCTATTGCCCATTAGATTTCAATGCTGTTTTTTGTAAAAACGTCTTCCTCACAAGTGAGAATTTAAGCACATGAGAGAGCACAAAGAAAATTTACAGTACAAGAGGTGAACTACCAAGGAAACAGCCGCTTTTGCAAGACAACAACAACATTTTTATCCTAGCCTCCAATCACGGATAGTGGGAAGTCCTCCACCTAGGAGGTATATACACCAGGTAATGCGACTAAAAATTAAAAAAATATGAAAAAAATATGGTCACCTGTCCTCTAGATTCAATTTTTAGAATGGATCGTAGCATTATGTACAGATTATTTGATATCATGCTATTCTTGAAACATTTATACGAAAAAATAACTGGGTCGCTCAGCTCTTATGCCTATATGTGTTCAGTAATCATCAATTCTCGTGAGTAAAATTTCTCCAGGCCATTGAAGGGTCTGCTCAGTAAATTGACAATTTCTACTGCGCATGTGTCATGGGTTGTGAAACACTGGACGAAATAGTTTGGTAAATTTCAAGCTATTTGATTGGTCGAAAAAAATCACGCACCTTTGCGTGATTTGCTTTATTTGCTATGTCTATACATCAAAATCTTTACTAAACAGACGTTGCGATTTATAGTGGATAAAATGGTAAAAATAACATTTTTCTGGCTATATACTTGATTGCCTGGTCTTACACCCTCTCTGGTGAACCAGAGACATATATTTTCGATATATGCATGAAGGTCCGTTCAAAATCGATGTTTGAACCTTTAAAAAGCCAAATTTAGACTGAGGATTGAAAAGGTTCTAAGAACTTTTATTTCTCTCGGTAGACCGGAAGTAAATTTATGAGTCGAGCAAAAAGTGATAATGTTTTTTTATGGAGTGGGGAAGTCAAAACAGTACTAATAGAAGTCATAGTAAGCATTTGAAGATCATTTTAAAACCATATAAATCAAATCGACAGCAAAGTTGAAATGACTGAAATATTTATATGTTTTCTTCATCTTCGCGGACCTCAGAGAAGACACTTCTGGTTTAATACTCAGTGATTTTATCGATCAAAAAATATTTTTTATGAATTTGTCTGATATCTGCTTAATATGGTATGTATATGTGTGCTGATTGTTAAATTACAAAATAGGTTGCGTATAGAATAGTCAAAGTCTTTTGATCTCGTCCCAGAAACAATATTTTGTCATTTCTGTCGCCTAGAATTCCTTTAAGGCTCTCTAGCGAAATTTGCTATCAAAATGCTAAAGAGCCTTAAAATTTAAGGCTCTTTAGCCGAATTGCTAAAGAACCTTAAAATTTAAGGCTCTCCAGGCACGGCTTTGAATATATACCGGAAATAATTTTCAATTTTTTTAGGTTTTTATTAACCTCACTTGATACTTCTAATAAGAAAGATCAATAGATGGTGTTCACTGTGAATACTTGGGATAAATTGTTTTATTTTACATTACACATACATTATTATACATTAGTGCTTATTGCACTTAGCACTAAATAATCTGAAATACATTTGTGTGCAATATGAATGGCATGAATATATTTTCAGCGCTTGCATTAGGTTAGAAAATTTGTGAGTCCCAACAGTGTAGACGCAATGGTTTATTAATGGATGGTCCGTCAATTGACGGATCATTGTTTCAATTTTTTATCATCCGTTAATCAACGGATAAAGAAAAACCGTTAATTTGAATTGGAAAACGGCAAAATAAAAGACTGGGTCAGTTATTTATGTCTTGGAATTTAATTTACTGCTGTGGAGAAAAACCAATTACATCCGACGAATGTGCTGCATACAACGCATGTTTTCCATGTGTGCTTTTACATTTCTATGTGTGCTAAATATTTTACAGCCTGTCAAAGACAGCTGGTTGATTCCAGCATGAAAATCTCTTCATCATCATGCATTATTTTGGGAATGTAATTCAGCCATACATGTATGTCTGGCATGTACCTATGTGTACGCAATAAAAATGATTCGCATGTTTATTAGTAAATAATAGTTACATTGAGTTCAGGATTCCACGCTATAATAAGAAATACAATCTTATATTTAGGCCTAGAACTTCACCGTTCATTCACGATAAAAAAGGAAGAATCAAAGATTTTATATTGTATAGTGCAATATGTTACGCTCTGAGGACCAATATGTAACATCAAAAAGATAAATAATACATATAAATATAATTAATTCTAACATTGGCGACGGCATTTAAAACGAAGTCATACTCCCTATTTTAATTCCAAATGCATGTGTATTGCACCTCATCATATGTCAATATTGCCTTTAAAGTTTCTTTTATACGATAACTTTCCGTATTTCTGTTGTAAGAAATTTCTGTCCCAAGAAAGGAATGTACTCTACGTATTAATGGACTGCCTGCCATGGATCATCGCAGAATTTTAGAATTTTCTTCATCTTAGGAAATAAAAAGTTGATGTTAATTTACGGACTGGGAAACAATCATTCCCTGACTCATTTTACATTTTCATTTTTCTATTTGTTATCTACAGACAAAGCAAGAAATGAAAAAACAAAAGCGATTACGACATTGGTCGTTTGACAGACGATATTAAATGTAAGATCGGCAGAAACTACAGTAAATCTATTTTCAAACCTTACACCATGACAAGTGGTCAGGATGAGATCTTTTTTTGTGTGTGCACTTCTAGCTCACATTGGTAGTTATTATACTGCTCAGCTAAGTCAAAATATACAATAAGTTCAGACGAAGCGCAGTACACAGGATAAACACCAAAACAAACAATTTTGATAGGGAGTGAGTGGTTTAAGGTTTGCAATTAGATGTACTGTAATTTCTGGCTTTTACATCCAATATAAACCACCCTCCGATGGTGATGCATCTATTTTAAGCTTTTACATCCAATACCTGCCCTCCTGATGGGTTGTCTTTTTTGGCAAATTAATGTAACTAGTTTCATCAGATAACATGCAATGTTCGCTTTAGAAAAATCTTTTAATATTTGCTATACATCTGGCCATAGATTTAGCCATTACTTATTGAATTGATCTATAGTTTTCTCCCGAGTTTTCTTCTGCAAATAGAAACATTAACATAAGACCCCTTCTAAATCTTGTGGAATTACATACTTATGAAACCTATCTTGAGATACTCTCATTGGCTAATAAGTCTGACCTTCTGACCTAAGCCTGTATCTCATTATCATAAATTATGAATTAGACCCGTCTTTATTTTATTTATCATTATTCATTTAAAAGATATATTTCTCATTAAATATAAAAACAAATTAATATAATTGTTCAAGGACATCGTAGAAAACATTGTTTGCATCATAAATTCGAAGAAAATTTTGATATTTTTTCTTCTTTCTGTGATATTTCGTTAAATTTTGAAGTGAAATTATTTTAGTGGAATGCAGTCATGAGGCGACTCATCAAATATTTTGATTTCATTGTTCAAGAAAAAACTAAGACAAGAGAATTAATTCTTTCAACGAGCTTTTCAATAAGTCAGATTAGAAGATTTTACTACGGAATTCACAACTCATGTTATACTTAGAAAGTAAATTGGCAACATCTCAATTATTTCAATAGTTATAAAATTGACACTGCCTCATGCGATTGCATTGAGAATTACTATTTTGATATAATCTAAACTTTTCATTTTGAAGGAATTCGATAGGAACCTTTAGAAAATACATTTTACATCAATAAAAATAAATACGCAAATATAATGACTCCGGGACTATGACAAATGTGGAATGAATGCATTCATAGCTAAAGTCCAATGAATAAATTTGGCATATATTTAGGTGAAAAACACTACAAAACAAGAATGAACTTTGGCTTGGTTCCCAAGCAGTAATTTCGTCTTGATACAGCGTGAATACACAAATTATACAAAATTTTATTATGGAAAGGATATATTCTAAAATGGGGTTTATAAAATAATGATTTAAATGACCAACAAAAGACCAGGGTTAATTTCTTAAACAAGTGAATCGTCTTCCCGGGATCGTCTTATTCCGGTCAGTTAAATGTTCGTGCTATTAAACAAGAAATAATCTGACATGTCTAATACTATCACTGTACAAGCTAGTAACTGTGAAGTCCATCTCATGTACGGATGAAACATTGCAACATATTGGAGTTTAAATATTCTATACGCAAGTATCTGTAACTGGTCCCTGGCCTCGGCCATGCTGGGCGATAATAAAGATAATAAAGACACCAAGGACACCCGTCAATTGACGGACGATTCAGAAACTGACAGAACATGAATCAAATTACAGGTACCCGTTATTTGACGGATGAAACGTCAAACGAAGTATTTATATTGGCATGCGCATTTGGGAAATCTTTCTATGAACGGCCCATCCGTCAATTGACGGACCATCCATTAATAAACCATTGCGTCTACACTGCCCAAAGACGCAATTTTTTTTAAAAAAGTGTGTCCTTTGAAAAAAAGTGTGTCCCCTATTTCTAGTCATATTTTCAGTTTTTGATTTCTTGCCGCGAATTTAAAACGGAAGTAAACGTTAAGTACGGACTGAATAAATGCATGTTCGTTCATTCGACAATGAATACATTTTATTTCATGAATAACCTTATATTTGTTTCTATATAGGAAAAAACTGTGGCGTGTCATGGTTTCAAATCGAAAAATAAACAAAGTCGAAAAATTCGAGAGAATCATGATTATTTGTAAATATTCAACATGTTGAGCCTTATTTACGATTCAAATAAAGGTGAGAGATCATAATTATTTGTTTTTGTTAGGTATCGTTGTAAACACATTGTAGTATTGACCTAAAAATATTTTGCGTCCAAAAAACGGAAATATTTTCAATTTTTGCGTCCTCCAAATTATTTTTGAGTCCTTAACATGTACGGGACGCCGTTAAGGTGCCATGGAAGTTAACAGGAAATGACAAAACAGGAAGTGACAAAGCCATGCTGGATTTTGAAAATTTTTTGAAGCAAGATATCAGAGTTCTGTTTGGACCTCTAGTCAGTTTTACTAGTTCCATATATCATGTACATGACTGGGAACACAATGGAAATGGTCAAAATGACCTTAAAAATGATGAAATAACCTTTTCAGCCCTCTGAAAATGTGCCTGAAAAATAGCTAAAAGTAGGTGCTCAGGAAAGGTCACTGAACAGAATCTTTCGATTTTTTCAGAAAACATGTCCAATATATTGCTCTAAATGATACAATCTTTGAAATTTTAAAAAATTGTCTGAAACAATAATGGCTGTAGTAAAAAGGTAAATCGAGCGATTTTCAATTCAGTTTTTTTCATTTTTTTCTTTTTCTAAGAATGATATCAAATTTTTTTAAATTGTATCATTTTAAGCAATATATTGGGCAGATTTTCTGAAAAAGTCAAAAGATTCTGTTCAGTAACCTTTCCTGAGCACCTACTCTTAGCTGTTTTTCAGGCACATTTTCAGAGGGCTGGAAAGATTATTTCATCATGTTTATGGTCATTCTGACCATTTCCGTTGTGTTCCCGGTCATGTAAATGATATGTGGAACTAGTTAAACTGACTGGAGGTCCAAACAGAACTCTGTTATCTTGGTTCAAAAAATTTTCAAAATCCAGCATGGCTTTGTCACTTCCTGTTTTGTCATTTCCTGTTAACTTCCATAGCACCTTAATGCAAGCCCTGATTTTTTTATGATATTATGGCACAATGGTCTATAGATTTCTTATTTTTCAGGTTCAACTGCTCGCCTTTGGAGCAGTGTAACAGACTGTAGAGAACAAACTTCCAGTTTAATAAAAATGGCGGAGACGAAGGAGAAGAAGACGAAGAATTTAGAGGATTCTCTTTTGCCATTATCGATCGATATAAGGTATGTGCACATATTCTAGTTGCATACACGGAAAATACATTTGCTATAACTTTTTTTAATACAGAGCCCATGGTTTAGATTGGGGATGTAGGGATCTGAATTCGATTTCAAATCTCAAATTCAAAATATCAACAAAATGGGCGATAATACAATGATTTGAAGTATTGGCATTTTTACAGAGCAGAAGCCAGTGGTTATCGTTAACCAGAGGAGAAAAAATAGACCTCAATCTATTCACTGTTATAATTAATCATGTTAACTAAGAAACACTTATATAACGTACTTACTTACGTGAAAAACAGCTACATTTAGAGGATCTCTCTACTTGTTCTGTTAGATTTGGCCTATTTTTCGAATCTCAAGCGGAAATTACAACCGGAAGTTGCTTGGCCACAGCAAAAATTTTATTTTCTGTTTTTGAAGAATTTATTTGTAATTTGTTAGATCTAATCCATTTATGAACTGACATTTAAATGCAAAAATAAAGTGTCAGCTGAACTATTCATACAATTTTGATAAATCTGCTTGAAAATCATACCTGTGTAAGGAAGAAAAGGATACGGTGAAATTGAAATTCCTGATTCCTGTACAGAGTTAGAGTAGACTAGCCTAAAGGGTATGTGTCGAGTTCTTGTCTAAAAATCTTCTATTCCAGGCGTGTAGCCAGGACGGGGGCTCGTCTGAGCCCGAGCCCCCCCCCCCTGATATCTACTAAGAAAATGTGGACCAACCTTTTTGCTTCCTTGAAGAAAAACCTCCTCTTCCACATTCACTGGGCAATTTAGTTCAACGTCGTTAAACTCAATAACGGCGTTCTTTACTATTAGGAATTTTTTCTTGGGGCCATTATTGAGTTTAACCTCCATGCTATTCTTTCCTTTGATGCAAGTTGTGGATCTATCGAAACCACTTTTCCTCGCTAATATGACACTGATACTTAACAATAATATAAAACCACATTTCATCAGGCGATTTCACATAATATTATTGTGTTAAATGTTCATTTTTAATCGTAAAATGTGTCTTATTCTTACCAATTTATGAGACGAATATTTCAACCGGCAATGTCTGTCTGTGCGTCGCCAAAGTAAACTTGGTTAGCGAAACGAAATTGTTCTTCAATATTGATATTTATTATAACCATCCAGTATGACACGAATCTTTGCTTTATTCAAACAGCGCGTGTATTCACCCAAGTTTACTCTATTGTTATTTATAAAAACTTTAAAAAGCAATACTCGCAACATTATTGATGCATTTGATTACTGGTAATTTCAGCTCAAAGAAATAAAGATGTCATTGATTGTGTTAGATTGTGATTGTGTTGAATAATTGTGCCTAAATATTAAATTATGGTAATTGTTTATGGTTTTCTGCTTGCAAAAACGTACCTAGGAATACACTCAATTGTTTATAACTGGGATCATGTATTTTACTCAGCATACATGCTTTGTAACAATTGTTACATTTTAATAACTCCAATGTTTATCGCAAGCCTCCTACAGTATTACAATATTTTGTACTTATATATAGGATAACCGGGGTTCGTTTCGTTTTATGAACTTGTTTCGTTCAGTGTTGCTAACGGCGGTTTATTCCTGAAAGGATTTGCCATTTCGATGTTACCGGAACCAGAACAGAGTTTTCTAAACTAAGAAAAAGCCTTCTCCCAACATTTTCATAATTATACATCGATGAGGTTACAGGGGGGTATGTGATGATTTGTATTTATTCATTAGGTATGTATGCATGCGTTGATCACATTATTTCTGTAACGATACCATCTTATTACGGTTTAATTAGTTCCGCATGTCGAAACCTGCTGAACGATTAAATGATCGCATCAAGGGCAAAATCATCATGGAAGTTAGACCTTGCCGGGGCCATAAGACATGTCAGATAAGAAACGAGGCCCAGGCTAGGTCTAATGTTGTTGGACTATGGGCAATTAAGATTAAAAAACTGGCATTACTGTGCATTGTTTTTCGAATTTTGGCATTATTTTTCAAAATTTGGCCCAATTTTTTTCGCGGACATATTTGTGCCCCTGGCCTTCCCATGGAGCATGCCCCCCCCCCTAGGATGGGCCCGGAAAAAAATGTTGGCCCAAAAATATTGTATGACCTCTTTAATAGTGGGCCTTTATGGGCACTACATGACCTTTTTGGGCCTTATTTTTTCAATTTCAGGCCAAATTTTCAAAAACGGCCGCTATAAATTTTTAAAATGTTGGCCCGAATTTTGCTTTTAGGGCCATAAAAATTTTATGAGCGGCCCTAGGATGGACCCAGAAAAAAATGTTGGGCCAAAAATATTGTAGGGCCTCTTTAGTTGGCCTTTACTTGACCTTTTGGGCCTTAATTTTTCAATTTTAGGCTAAATTTTCAAAAGAAAGCCATTAATCTTCAAAATTAAGGCCCAAATTTTGGTTCTAGGCCCATAAAAGGTTTTCCGCGCAGCCATAGGATGGGCCTAAAAATAAAATGTTGGCTCAAAAATATTGACGAGCCTCTTTAATGGGCCTTTTTGGGCATTAATTGACCTTTTAGGGCTTTATTTTTTCAATTTAAGGCCAAATTTTTAAAAAACGGGCCTTAAATTTTCAAAATTTTCGCCCGAATATTGGTTTAGGGCCCTAAAATTTTATGCGCTGCCCTGGGATTGGCCTGGAAAAAAATGTTGGGCCAAAAATATTGTAGGGTCTCTTTAGTTGGCCTTTACTTGACCTTTTCACTTCACCTTTTTGGGCCTTATTTTCAATTTTAGGCCAAATTTTCATAATTTTGGTTCTAGGGCCCTAAAAGGTTTTCCGCGCGGCCATAGGATGGGCCCAGAAAAAAATATTGGCCCAAAAATATTGAAGTGCCTCTTTAGTGGGCCTTTTTGGGGATTACTTGACCTTTTTGGGCCTTATTTTTTCAATTTTAGGCCAAATCTTCAAAGAACGGGCCATAAATTTTCAGAATTGTGGCCCAAATTTGGGTTTTAGGGCCCTAAAAAATTTCTGCGCTGCCCTAGGATGAGCCTAGAAAAAAATGTTGGCCCAATCATGGGCGTAGGGCCATATTTTGAGTTGGCATGTACACTCGGGGATGATGGATTGCGTGGCCGAAGGCCTCCCAATTGAAAAAAGCCCCGAAAAAAGCCTATGGAAAATCATCTCCAATTATCACCTAACGTATACTATTGATAATTAGTTGAAAGTTAGGTGTAAAAATTCACATGCAAATGACAGGGTTCTTACTACAATGTACTAGGCTTTTAGACTCCAGAGATTCTCAAGAGTCTAATGTCTTCAGCTTTTCCGGAGTCTAAAGTGTTTTTTCCGGAGTCTAATTTTACATTTTTGTCACATTATTTGCGGTAAAACTCTTGAGAAAATACATAAAACTTGATACAAAAAACAAGAAATAGAAAGTCAGAAACCTTTTAGAAATAAATACTGAGATTAAAATGGCAAAATAATCTTAAAGGAAGTATGTTGAAAAGTATACTTATTGGATATCTCTGATCTCACATGGGGGAAAAGTAGTCGCGATACCGCGAAATAAGTAGTCACAATACCGCTAAAAATCCGTGGTCTAAAAATTTCCTGGTGAGAACGCTGAATGAGCTTACTATCACCTTAATTAACGCTTAATTTGCAACTTAATTAACAGTAAACTATCATCAATATGCAAATGAGCTATATCATGGTCGATTGTCACTGATTTACGTAAATTAGGTGAAAGTTAGTCGTAAGTTTGATGAAAGTTAATCTCTAATTATCACCTAACTTACTATTGATGATAAGTAGAAAGTTAGGTGTAAAAATTCACATGCAAATGAGCTAACTATCAACTCTAATTAATGATTAATTTTCACCTTAATAAACGTTTAATTATCATCATTATGCAAATGAGCGAAACAACGGTCAAATGTCTCAGTTTTTTTAGATTAAGTTTTTGCAGATTTGTGACTTCTCAAAAATGACTCGCTTCTTTTTTGCTTCTCTTCACCCAAAGATTTTTGCTTCATCTTGACTCTTGAACTTTTTTGTGACAGAATGTTCATTTTAATTAGGATCAACATTGAACTTGAACTATATTGAAATTTCACAGCTATTCTATTTTGCAAATTTTTAAGATTTGTGAAAAGCATGTGAAAACATCATTATTGCCATCAACAACTAAAATCAGAACACAAACATTAGACTATAATGTTACATAATATTATTGTAACAGATAATCAAAAATATATTTTGAAATGTGTCTTTGATCTAACAATCATTATTTAGAAGAGCCCATTTGGATTACTTGTGAAATATAGGTAACCCATGTTAGTACCTAAATTGTACTCTAAGATCAATAGTATATGATCTGATTCAAAAAAAATTCAAATTCATAAACATTTCAGACAGAAGTGAGAATAAGATTTAACATACATTGTATTCATGTTCTACATACCCTTAAGATAACGTTGACCAAATTTCATGGTAGTATACATACCATTCAAGTTGTAATTCTCAGTTTTATAAGAGAAATATCTCTTACATGTTTTCTTTTTCCACCATCTTGAAATTAAATGTAAAGGGTTTGTATTTCTAAACCATGGGCCTAATTTACAACTAATTAACATCATAATCATCCTATATGTTAACTATCAACCAATAATCTACTTCAGAACAAAAAAGTCTTAATTTACCACTACTATCTACAGGCCTGTCAACTTGGGAACACCTAACATGAGTGACTTGGAAATGTTGAACACCTCCCCTCGAAAAATTTCGAACGGAATGCGTGACATATACGTAATTCGCGTGAAAATTCCCAACGAAATGCGTACATTTTTTTCCGGCGTTCGTATTTTTGCTGTGTAGACGATCTTTTTTAGAAATTTTTCTACAGAAATATTTTTGCTTGACAATTACCAGGTAAAATGCGTATTTGCGTGACATTTTCTGTCACGCAAAAATAACTGGCGTGACTTCAAATTCTTCAGCAAATGCGTGACAAATACGCCAATTGCGGGACAGTTGACAGGCCTGTATCTATCACCATCAAACATTTTCATTTCTTAATTATCAGCTAAAAATCATAAATCAGCATTATTGTAAGGTAATTTACGTTGAACTTGCTAGTGATAATTAGGCCATAATTATCATTGATTTAATTAACGCTTAACTTTAATTCTAATTGCCAGCAGAATTGTTGATAATTAGGTGTAAATTAGTTTTATTTTTCAATTGGGGAGATAGGGAATGTCACTGAACAGAATCTTTTAAATTTTTCAGAAAATGTGCCCAATATATGGCAGCAATCTTGAAAAAAGGGTCTGTTAACTCTTGTATAATATATGAACTTGTTGAAAATATGAACTTTCTGGCATCCAATATCATGGCTTATTATTTCACATCAAGATAAAGAAAGATGTAAGGAATATGCTAACATTGATTAAAACATAATAACTAGGCCTACATGTTGTATTCAGACACTAGCTATAGTGAGAATTTGGACAAACAAAGGTGGTAAGCAAAAGATATGATTATCCCATCAAACGAAGTTCTAAAGACACTTTTGGTATTTTGAAAAATGGCCATTTTAACGTATTTTACTATAAATCGAAAAGTAGTTAAGCGATTTTGTGCATATTTGTACTATGAGCATGGCACACTGTCTAATTATAATGACACTTTTGGTAGAAGGTAGCCATTTTGAAAAATGGCCACCATTTTGACGTGTTTTACTATAACTCGAAAAGTAGTGGAGCGATTTTGTTCATATTTGGAATGTGAATACTACAGGGCTGTCAACTTGGGACCACCTAATATGAGTGACTTCAAAATGTTGGACACCTAAGTCCAAATCTGAACACTTTTGTCCAAATTTTGAACACCTTTGGCCAACTTTTAAACACCTTTGGCCAAAGTTTGAGCACCTTTGCCAAACTTTGAACACCTCAAATTTTTCGCGCTCGCTACGCTCGCGTTGTCGTCAACGGGGGGGGGGGGGTAGGTACGAAAAATTTCCAATGAACATGCGTGACACATACGGGATTCGCGTGACAAATCCGAACAAATTGCGTTCGTTTTTTTCCGGCGTTCGTATTTTTACCGTATCGTAAACATATTTCGAAAAAATTTCTACAGAAATATTTTTGCTTGACAATTACCAGGTAAAATGCGTATTTTGCGTGACATTTTCTGTCACGCAAAAAAAACTGGCGTGACTTGAAATTCTTCAGCAAATGCGTGACAAATACGCAAATTGCGGGACAGTTGACAGGCCTGATACTATCAGTGGCATAGGAACAATGTACGCCAAAACGCCAGTGCGTAGTGTTGAAAAGTTACGGCTTATTAATTTCCCCATGTTCTTTAGTCATTTTTCTTTCTGTGAATTAATTGTTTGTGATCGAGCACACATGTTTTTAGATACCATGCAATTATATGCTATTTTTCAATAGTACACATAGGCCATTTAACATCATAATACTTCATGAAAATAGAGCCATTATTTATTGACTATCTTATGCATTTTACAAGTAAAATAAAGTTTCGCCAAGTATTTGCAAGTCGAGTTCTCTTCACGAATTTGAGAGAAAAACAGATTTTTCAAAAACACCTTGATGAATACTTTTACAATTTTCATGGACCAAAATAATATTGGAATAATATTAAGTCAGCATATTGGAATAATATTAAGTCAGCAATTATCTATTTTCTTACTAAATCACTTATGAATGTTAAAGACAAAAATACAAAAGTTGAACTTGAAATTGTTGATTATTCAATTAGGCGTTCTTTTAATTTTTGAGTTGACGCGATACCTGTAATCTTTGAAAGTGCATAACATCAGTTCCAGAAAAGCTATTACCTTGATTCTTATTTCATTTGAAAGATGATATATGCTTGTAATTTTAGGAAATAAAGTATTTTTGGCACCAAAAATTATTTAGGAAGGAAATTAACAATCAAGAGTCAGTATCAATCAAAAAACCTAAATTGGAAAACTGTGCTCATTGTGAAAATTAAGTGAAGCTACTTTTTCTGATGTTCTTACATCAAATGCCAGCAATCTTGTTTTTCCCCTCCATATTAAACTGGCTGGAAATTTGAAAAAATTTCAATCCTAAAATATATTCAAAATCATGATTTTCTTTTAATTCTTCATGGGTCTTTAAGTACACACTCATCCTTTGTCGTCTGTAGCGCTCGAGAAAATAATTCATTAGAAAAGTGAAAATGAGTTTAGTTGAGATTTAAAAGATCGGCTTTCCATGGTGATCTCATATAATGAAAAACATTCGAACATTTTGAGGGAATTGAACTTAGAAAGGTATAACCATAAATATTACGTTCTACAAGCATAAAATAGGGGTGTTGATACAGAAGATTTGACATAATTCTTTTCATTTTTGGCGTAGTGTTGAATTTACACCTTCCTACGCTACGCCCCTGACTATAAGCATGGCACACTGTCTAATGACACTTTTGGTAGAAGGTGGCCATTTTGAAAAATGGTTTCCATTTTTGCTATATACTTTGTATGTAAATATGCCAGTTATGGCTGTTCGATGGAATTTGCTATGCTTTGGCGTTGCTGTTGTTTAGTAATGTCTGTCAACTCTGAAGCTCTGGTGTTACGGAACCAATGGGATTTGGACCAATTTGTTGACCCCGATCTGACTACATGTATATCTCATCAATTCTAAAGTAATGTGCAGAGATGAAGGCCTCATATGTATAGCTTTCCCCAATTAGAATCATCCCTTTTAATTAAGAAACTTTGCTGAGCTTAAATTGGTTGAAGAATTATTCTTCATTCATCAGGCAAGAAAAGTGAAACAATTTATTAAGTAATATTATTTTACAGCAGATCCTCACAATTTTTTTATGTACATGTACATATACATACATGAACTTTTCTTTTTTAGATCTGTCAAGATCCAGATACATACATGTACAAAATGTCTAGAAATGAAGGTGATTATAAATATTCTTACATTTTCACTTTAAATTATGTCACTTTTTATAGTCTCAAGCAATTTTCATCTGGCCATCATCTTAAACACGGTTATAGTGCTTATATATAAAAATGACTTCCATGATCTTCATTCCATGATTCTAGACACAGATGAGGAGTATGAGATACTGAATCTGTCTGAGATTGACAGAACATGGCTGCAGCGCACATTCACTCATGTCACCAAGGCATCTGCAGCCAAACAGATAGCAGTTGGAGGAGTATCCGGATGGTGGGTAAATTTTATATGATGGACACCTGAACATTCAACAATGAAGAATGAGTGATATAAGAATGTCTAAAATATAGCTCGATATTAATGTAAATGTAGTAGTCTTAAAGGGTATATAGGGGAAAGAATCCACTTTGGTAAAGTTAGAAACATTAAATTTCAAAGTTATTAGTTTTCTTGTGTGCTCATGTATAGTAAAGTGATATTTTGTGTACTATGTGAATAAGTGTGTTTATTCCTGTTGAAGGTGTGCTGGTTATGTGTTTGCTAAGGTAGGCAAGTTGGCAGCTACAGCACTTGGGGGAAGTTTACTATTATTACAGGTAACACACCTTAATACTTAGAGGCACAATCAGATCTCTAGGGGTGACAAAATTGCAAGCAACATATACAATTACCCAGATATAAGTAAATAGTTACCAGTTTCACCACCGGGTGGCTGAATTGGGTTAATTAACATGGCAGGTATACAAGAAAGAAAAGAAAGAAAGTTCCCCTAAACTTGAATATTTTCAAATTCATAAACATTTCAGACAGAAGTGTGAATAAGATTTAACATACATTGTATTCATGTTCTACATACCCTTATAATAATGTTGACCTTTCATGGTAGTATACACACCATTCAAGTTGTAATTCTCAATTTTATAAGGGAAATATCTCTCACATGTTTTCTTTTTACACCATCTTGAAATTAAATGTAAGGGGTTTGTATTTCTAAATCATGGGCCTAATTTATGACTAATTAACATTAAAATCATCCTATATGTTAACTATCAACCAATAATCTACTTCAGAACAAAAAAAGTTTTAATTTACCACTTACTATCACCCTAAAACATTTTCATCTTAATTATCAACTAAAAATCATAGATCAGCATTATTGTTAGTTTACGTTGAACTTGCCACTGATAATTAGGCCATAATTATCATTGATTTAATTAACGCTTAACTTTAATTACCAGCAAAATTGTTGATAATTAGGTGTAAATAAGTTGGTAATAAGTTGGTAATTAGTTTTATTTTTCAATTGGGTTATTATTCGGGTTTGTAGAAAAAAACGGGTACCGGGTAGTAAATTCTCCATGCTGGGTTCAAACCTGATACCCGGTCGAAAAAAATGGGTACCCAAGGGCCAAAGGCCCAAGGTCTAATATTTCACTATATTGCTCGCAGAAATGACGTTATTAGTATTATTACCACCGTTAACGACAAGGACTGAAACAGCAAGAAAAATCTTACGCATTGAACGATATCTAATTTCCCGGGGAAAATTGCCGGTCCAGAATATATTCTAGACCGGTCCATATGGACCACCACTATGACGTCACACATTTCTCAGGTCGATATAGTAAAATGAACGCCTTCTAAACTAGCACTAAAACCCCTAGAACTGGCCCGGCAAGGTGGTAATAATACTACATGTACAAGTCATGTATAAGAATGCTGTAACCTGTATATGCATGGCATACTATCTAATGGCAGTTTAGAAGCATATTACACTTTCTGACAATTTTGCTAGTAAGCAACCATTTTGAAAATGGTGGCCATTTTTGTGTTTTATATTACATTTTTGTTTTATACTTCGTTTGTAAAAATGCCAGCTATGATTGTTTGATGGGATTTGCTACGCTTTTGCTTTTGCATTGCTGTTGTCTAGTTTTTGATTATCAACAATGTCTACAAATTTCGTTTAAAATATGTCGCAAAGATTCAAAATGGCTGCCACTCGTATTGCACAAAAATCAGGCTGTTCAAGCTTCATTATGGAATATGGTATTTATTGATCCAAGTTAATACCCAAGTTTTTCAGCTAGCCAAGTACTTCTACAGAATTATTATTAACCTTCATCATGTGCAAAAAACTTTGATTATTGAAATATTGAAACCTTCCCATGTGAGCACAGTACCCATGGTACTTTTTTATGTTGCTATAATTTTAAAAGTAGTGGAGCGATTGGCTAATGGAATGGCATTTTAAAAAATGGTGGCCATTCATATATGAACAGTATGTATTAATTTATTTTCGTCTCACATGAAAAGTACATCCAGCCATTGCCAGCTTATGAGAGAGACATTAAACAATGTTATGCAGAGCTAAAGCTATGGCACTAGATCTCATCAACTTTGATCATATGTGAGCATTAGAAAGGTTTTTCATGTACATGTACCATTTTAATTTACATTAATGAAATGCTAATAAAATTTCAATAAAGTAGAATGATCCACAAAGTACCCTTTTTGGTACAATATTGAAATACAACTGCCAAAATACAATAAAAGTTATGTTTATCATAAGAAATGTCATTGACAGCCCTGCAGAGACCTCCTATGTTCTATCCAATCTGGAATTCATAGTGCAAGAATATTTTGCCAGGAGTGGCATTTGGTCAAAGTCAGTATAGAGTAGTTTGATTTTCAATAAAAATTTGACGAGTTCCAGATTTGAGTTTTGCTAAGTGTCTAGGCTGGTTTCTGTTTAAGTTGGTAGTTAAATAGGTCTCAGGTTCACATGAGTGTATGTGTCGTTTTACGTTTTGCTATCTGGAACAGCAGTGGAGCGATTTTGTCAATATTTCATAGTGTGAATACTTAGAAGCCAAATATGGCTGCCATGGCTGTTTGATGGGATTTGCTATGCCTTGGCGTTTCTGTTCTCTAGTTACTCAGTCATTCTACTACAAACCTGTCATCACTTATAACTCATGTGGCATACTACAAACGTGTCATCACTTATTATCCCATCGAACGAAGTTCAGAGGGATATAGGGAACGCCTCCCTCCGTCCGTCCGCCCGTACGTACGTACGTACCTACGTCCGTCCATCCGTCTGTCCGTCCATCCGGGCAATAACTCAAATACCGTTGGCTCGATTTTGTTCATATTTTGTACACATATACCCAATGGGAGAAGAAGTTCCGCTGGAAACCCGATTTTCAAAATGGCCGCTCATTTAAAAATGGCGGCCATTTTAGTGCCGATTTTACAGTAATTTAGGTACTGCATATAAAACTGTAATAGCAATATGTTTTAAATGTAAAAAAGTTATATAGGACATTGATTAAGCTGGAAATGTAAATATAGAAGAAATACATGGCAGCCATCTTGAAAAATGGCTGCCTTTGCGCATCATTTTACGATTTTTGCTGTAACCTGAAAAGTAGTGGAGCGATTTCATTCATATTCGGTATGTGAATACTTTAAGCATGGCACAATGTCTAATGATATTTTGGTATTAGGCGGAATTTGGAAAATGGCCTCCATTTTTACGTGTGTTATTTAACATTTTTTACTGTAAGTCAAAAAGTAGTGGAGCGATTTTGTTTATATTTGGTATGTGAAAACTTCATGCATGGCACAATCTCTAATGACTATAACTCAAAAAATAGTAGAGCGATTTTGTTCATATTTTATATGTGAATACTATAATCATGGCACACTGTCTAATGACACTTTGGGTAGTAGGCATCCATTTTTCAAAATGGCCCCCATTTTTACTCTTTTACTATAACTTGAAAAGTAGTGAAGCGATTTTGTTCATATTTGATATGTGAATATTTATGAGCCTTGCAAACTGTCTCATGACACTTCGCGTAGTAGGCGGCCATTTTAAAAAATGACTGTCATTTTTATTACATTTTTTACTATAACTCGAAAAGTATTGGAGCGATTTTGTTCATATTTGATACGTGAATACTTTACGCATTGCACATTGTCTAATAAAACTTTGGGGAGTAGTCGGCCATTTTGAAAAGTGGCCACCATTTTTATGTGTGTTATTTTACATTTTTTATTATAACTCAAAAAGTAATAGAGCTATTTCTTTCATATTTGATATGTGAATACTAGTAAGGATTGCATATTTATGACATTTTGGGTAGTAAGCGGCCACTTTAAAAAATGGCCAGCATTGGGGATTTTTTAAGAATTTTATATTTGGCTACTTAAAAGCATATTACTTCTTCTGATGACAATTTGGCTATTGATCAACCATTTTGAAAATATTGGCCTTTCTTATGGGTGTTATTTTATGATATTTGCTATATTTCGTATGTAAAAATGCCAGCCATTTCTGTTCGATGGGATTCGCTACGCTTTGGCGTTGCCGTTGTTCTGGTTACTCATGTGGCATACTACAAATGTATCATTTTTTATTCAGGTGGCTCACTACAAAGGTGTCATTACAATCAACTGGAAGAAGCTGGAGAAAGATTATGATAATGCCAAAAAACAAATAACAAAGAATGCAAGAAAGCTAGACAAATTTGCTCCAGGATACGTGGAGAATGTAAGTTTCTTCCCATTTTGTCATTTTGTGCACACATTGCAATTATTATCCCATCAAACGAAGTTCGGAGGGATATAGGGAACGCCTCCGTCCATTCGTCCGTCCATACGTACGTCCGTCCTGGTGATAACTCAAGTACCGTTGGCTCGATTTTGTTCATATTTTGAGCACATATACACTATGGGGGTAACAGTTCTGCTCGAAAGCCGCTTTTTAAAATGGCCGCTCATTTAAAATGGCGGCCATTTTAGTGCCAATTTTACAGTAAATTAGGTACTGCATATAAAACTGTAATAGCAATATGTTTTAAATGTAAAAAAGTTATATAGGACATTGATTAAGCTAGAATGTAAAGACAGAAGAAATACATGGCAGCCATCTTGAAAATCTAGCACAATGTCTCTGTCAATGTCAGAATCGAAAATGTGCTTTATGTGACTCTAATGAGATTGAGGATGAGATACACTTCACTCTCAATTGCTCTCACTACAATGATTTGAAGAAAAAATTTCTGGCTATTGTTAATAAGCTGGCCTCTAGCATTGATACAGGCCTGTCAACTGTCCCGCAATTTGCGTATTTGTCACGCATTTGCTGAAGAATTTGAAGTCACGCCAGTTATTTTTGCGTGACAGAAAATGTCACGCAAATACGCATTTTACCTGGTAATTGTCAAGCAAAATTATTTCTGTAGAAAAATTTCTAAAAAAGATTGTCTACACAGCAAAAATACGAACGTCGGAAAAAAATGTACGCATTTCGTTCTGACTTTTCACGCGAATTACGTATATGTCACGCATTCCGTTCGAACTTTTTCGTCCCTACAAATGATCATATTTTGCTGTTTACTAGACTTATGTACACGCCCTGTATACAGAGAGCTTTTGCAAGTACATTGTTTAAGATGTTCAGTAAAAGGAACTTTGATCTGGAAAGACTTTAACAGTACCTCTATTTGTAATAATTCCAGAACAACAAACTATAATGTATTTTCTCATCGTATAACTACAGAAATATTATCTGTTAATGTTCAATTATACATAAGTAGCTTGTCTATGGATGAAGGCCATAGAACTGTGATACTGTCAAAATATATACAAGTTGCAAATCTGTAAATCAACTGTGATGTGGGGGACCCCTCAGGAGGGTACTGGGCCATCCAGAGGGCCCATACATCACTGTTTGACCAAGGTTTCTTTTTTCCGCTTGCTCCCAGGAACATCAACCTTGGGGAAGATGTCTCCTCTTAGTAAGTGGAAGGAAACAGTGAACTCAGTATACAAAAGTCATGGTCTTTTTCACTGTCATATTATGCATTTAGTAATCACATTGGAATTCTAATATTATACACACATGTATTAACTTGGTGTCTCATAAGCTGGCATCGGCCAATAGAAGCAATGTTTTTTAAAAAATGTTTTAAATGTATTTTAATATTATTGCTTGTGGCACATAATAAACTATATTAAAGGGACAAAGTGCGGAAATGAAGTCTCACTTTTGATCTTCATAGTATTTCCAATGGATTAAAAAGTACCCGATCTTTCATTTGCAGGGCTGTCAACTTGGGACCACCTAATATGAGTGACTTCAAAATGTTGGACACCTAAGTCCAAATCTGAACACTTTTGTCCAAACTTTGAACACCTTTGGCCAACTTTTAAACACCTTTGGCCAAAGTTTGAGCACCTTTGCCAAACTTTGAACACCTCAAAATTTTCGCGCTCGCTACGCTCGCGATATCTTCAACGGGGGGGGGGGGGGGGGGGGGGGGGTAGGTATGAAAATTTTCCAATGCACATGCGTGACACATACGGGATTCGCGTGACAAATCCGAACAAATTGCGTTCGGTTTTTTCCGACGTTCGCATTTTTACCGTATCGTAAACATATTTCGAAAAAATTTCTACAGAAATATTTTTGCTGGACAATTGCCAGGTAAAATGCGTATTTTGCGTGACATTTTCTGTCACGCAAAAAAAACTGGCGTGACTTCAAATTCTTCAGCAAATGCGTGACAAATACGCAAATTGCGGGACAGTTGACAGGCCTGCATTTGACACCAAAAAAGCTCAAACAGACCACATCAGAGTTGACACTAGATCATGAAAAAATAATTTTTGATCTATCAATTTATATACCTGTATGTCAAGTTTTTAGCAATGCCATAGAAAGATGGCATTGTTATTTGCATTAATTATCCATTCATTTTTGAAAGGATTTTTAAGCATACGCCATCTTTTAATCCAAGAGTATACACTTTGTGAAAAGTGGTAATTCACTTTTTTCAATCTCTGAACTTCAAATTCTGTTTTCTATGCGAGTAATTTTTGTTTCACTTCAGTATTATCCCAAATTAAAGTTTTTATCATATTTGATTGACTGTGTGAGTGACATGTCTAAAATAATATTTTGTCCCTTTTCTTTCAAAAATAGGCGCATTGCCTGTTTAAACTAAACTCTAATGACATTTTTGGAAGTAGGCGGCCATTTTGAAAAATGGTTGCCATTTTTACGTGTGTTATTTAACATTTTTTACTGTAAGTCAAAAAGTAGTGGAGCGATTTTGTTCATATTTGGTATGTAAATACTTTAAGCATTGCCCAATGTCTAATGGCATTTTGGGTAGTAGGCAACCATTTTAAAAAATGGCCAGCATTTACATATATGTGTGCGATTTTTTAAAAATTTTATATGTGGCTACTTTAAAGCATATTAGCTATTAACTTGGCTAGTGAGCAACCACTTTGAAAATGGTGGCCTTTCTTATGGGTGTTATTTTATGATATTTGCTATATATTTTGTTTGTAAAAATGCCAGCAATTTCTGTTCGATGGGATTCGCTACGCTAGCTTTGGCATTGTCGTTGTTCTGGTTAAACAAGAAATAAATTAAATATAAGTATTAATTAGAAAAAGGTTTATTGTAAAGTCTAGTGATCATGAAATCACAGATCATTCTGAATTAAATACATTTGGGAATCAGAATAATGTGTGGTCTGAAGCCAAAATATATTTTTCTTCTATTTTGCATCCATCTCATTTTATTGGATGTAAGCCTAATTAATGGGCTCAAAAATGCCTTCCACTAATTTCGGGTATAACAGTGGCTAGCATAATATTTTATAGAGCATTAATAAGTGCAATATTGAGGAAAAAGTAGTGTTTACTAGGCATAGTAAAATTGTCCAAAATATTCCAAAATTCAATTATCTTAATATTGGATATCTGCCATTATTCCACAGTTAGCATGATATTCATAGGATAACATGTGAAAATAAAAACGGTATTTTTGTAATCAGTGGTAAAATATGATATTTTTCACTTAACCATAGCATACGGTGTTTTAGGCATGACATACGGCGCCGTATGCTATGAATTATGGATTTTTGCTACTTCAGACTCAAAACGAGGCTAAGTGTCAACATCGCCGGATCGTTTGGAAAATTCGAATTAAATCACTTAATTTCCGACGATTCTGATGATGACTTTAACTATGGAATAAAAAGAACATCCTATGATTCATGAGTGATATGATTTTAATCAACTCATGGATATTGATATCTGCACTCTCTCGCTACGCTCGCTCGTGAAGATATCATATCCATTCGTAAATAAAAATCATATCACTCATAAATCATAGGATATCCTCTATTTATTAAAAAGTTACATGTATTTCTGAAATGCTTTCATTCAATTTGTCAATAATTATTAATATATCACTCTGTGGCATAATATTGGCAATTATGATGGATTGACTTGCTCATTTTGGAAATTTTGACAAAAAACATATTCAGGTACATGAATTATTTTGGTGGACAGGTGCACCTCAACAAAAAATATGATTTTTCTTGATCTCAAATTCCCACTTTGAAGTCTTATGAAGATTCTATCATAATTGAAAAAGTTGTTCCAAAATGAGAAGTTCGCAATGTGTTACTTTGTAAGTATGTTTTAATTTCAGGTAACAGAATTTGCAAGTCAAAATGTGCTACTTGCTGGTGGTTTCACAGGAGGCTTTCTTCTTGGACTTGCTTCATCATAGCACATATTATAGATGACCTTAGTACTCCATCGGGGCAGGAGCTGAAGTAATATTGTGGAAGTATTAATTGCAAATACTCTAAAATCATGTTTAATGCAATACATTATCTGTCTCAGAGTAGCATTATTATTATTGAAAGAGAGCATGTTCGATTCTGTAAATATGTTTTATGTCTAGGTGAAAAGGCAAATGATGTATGAGCACTTGGTGAATGTGGTAGGCATCCTTTAAACATTGTATATATCAAACATTGTATAAAATATTGGCTAAACCTTCTTAAAATACCGGATGAAAGATTACCAAAAGCTTCCTATAAAATGCTAAAGTGGTAGGATAATTTTGGCAACACATGTTAAAACCTTATTGAGTTCTATGGGCTTTGGAATTGTTTACACCAACCAAAGTGTTGGAGATGAAAACTTATTTCTAAAAATATTTGTGCAAAGAATAAAAGATGACAATTTACAAGCATGGTCAGGATCATTATTAGCTTCAAATATACAGTGATTTCAAAAGTATATTAGAAGTCGAAACATATTTATCAGTTGTAAATATTGTCAAATATAGAAGAGCTTTAACAAGGTTAAGATGTTCCAATCATAAACTGAAAATTGAAATTAGTAGACATCAGGATATGTCAAAAGAGGATCGCATATGCCCTCTTTGAATTTCATTTTATTTTAATGTGCCCATCATATATTGATCTAAGGGAAGAGTACATCAAAAGGTATTAATATATTTTACCATCACAACAAAAGTATATTAATTTAATGTCTACAAAAGGTGTAAATGATTTATGTAACTTAGCTACTTTCTGCTATAAAGCATTTAATTTAAGGCAGGAGCTACTAAATTGATGTAAACATGTATTGTTATATTTGTAAAACTATGGGCCTGAGGCCTTTTTATTTGTTTGAGATAAACTAACCTTGAAACTTGAGGAGACACGTGGCTTCCTTGTAAACTAAATCAAATTGATGTAATCGCCACTGGTTTTGTGATTTTACAATGTCTTTGTTTGTTGCATTTTTTGGGACGCGCTGTATAATCCCTTAGGGTAAATTATTTTTCACAATATATGTGTGTGACAACTAAATTCTTATATGTAGTATTAAATTGAGATATTTCTGTAAAAATTATGTTGAAATCATGTAAACCCAATAATTGATATAACATATTGGGTTCAAGTAGTGATGAAGCGACTCCAAACCGAACACAACTCAAATAAATATAAATGACTTATATGAAATATAAATATTTAGGTGTTTTGGAGTTGGCTCAGATCATTAGATATTCACACAGTTAATTCTATCTCGTTACACCCCAGTCACATTTGTCGCATGGCGGCCGTAAGTCGACCGCAGATCAATTAAATCGGTGAATTTCTGCGGCGAGCGTAGAAAAACTATGGGCGCCTTGCGGTCTCCGTATGGCGTATGCACATTTTTACAGGCCGCAGGGAAGGCGTAGAAATTAATTATAACTCGGAGTTATAATATTTTTCATTTCTGCGGTGCCTAGAAATCAACTTGCTCAACAAGATTGAATCATTATTTGTCAATGTTTCACAATCACTTTTCATTTGATATTACATCCTAGCACTATGAATAACATCTATAAATTGTCCTGATGTAAATAAAATGAAAAAAAAGTATTATTTATCAACATAAATTTAAAATTCACCGTGCGGCTGCCGTTGGAAATGTGACTGCAAAAGTATGAGAGCGCAGAAATTCTATGGCGAGCGTAGAAAAGCTACTGGCCGCAGAAATGATAGACCGCACAGCGGCTGTGGAAATGTGACTGGGGTGTTAGTGATGTATAGATTGCACAAGTTCATAGGTGAGTTAATTTACATAGATCTTGTGATAAGGATGAAAAGTCACATGACTACAACTGGCGGGAATCAGTTTATGAACTCATAGCTTGGAAAGCCCAGCAGCCTCCCCAGCACCAACCAAAGTAATGAACAGGTTAATCTACTGCAACTTACTCACTTCGAGAGTCATGTTAGATTTTGAAACTTATGGCTCTCAAACTGGGAAGTGGACAGCTGATTAATAGTGACCTTTGAAATCGAATTAAGTCGATCAGCGGCCTACTTTTGTTCTCTAACTATGTTATACATCATTATCATCCTTCCGTGCAAGTATTGGAGCGCTGACATACTTCCCTTTCAATCAAGACTTGTAATTGTTAGTCGAGTGAATGTTTTACTGCCAAATTCCAATATGGCGTTTTCTGCTCGGACATTTTCTTAAATCTCCGGAGGTTGTCCGAACCTAACTAATTCTCAAAATTCATTTCGTTCGTTGCGTATCTCGCTCCTAGCAAACCGCCATATTGGAAATATGGTCTAAAAAACATTCACTCGATGAACAATTTACAAGTCTTGATTGAAAAAGAAGTATTTCAGCGCTCTAATACTTACCCGGATTGATGATACTGATGTAAGACACAGTTAGAGACCAAAAGTAAGCCGCTGATCGACTTAATTCGATTTCAAAGGTCAAAATCATTCAGCTGTCCAAATGCTCCGTGGGAAAGCTATTACATCAAAATCCAAATAGCTTTCGCAGGAAGTAAACTGCAACTAGACTAAGTAAAAACAAATATATCGTGTATTGTAATATATTTCTTAGCGATAGGGACCCCTTCGGTATAAGAATATACTGTAGTATTAAATTGAGATAGATTAACTAATGTTTCTGTAAGAATTAGGCTATGTTGAAATCATGTAAACCCAATAATTGATATAACATATTGGGTTAAAGTAGTGATCTATTAAATATAAATATTATTATTTGAAGTTCACAAAATAATTTTAGAGTAGATCACTATTATGGTATTGTTTTTCTGATTTTTGTCTCAGAAAATTCAGGATGGCTGCCTAGAGCAGGAATTCGCCATTACTTAGAGATATCTTTAAAGTATGGTTACATGATACTACAATGATAACAAATATTTAGCGAAGGGAAGAGTAGATGGTATATATTACATTGTGACTGTACAGATTCATGATGATTTATATAGTGTTTCTTGGGATTTGCTACTCCCTGGAGTTGCTAATTTCTAGTTTAATTCTATTGTATTTTATTCTGAAAACTGGCCATTATTGATTGATCATAAAAATTAGTTAATTTAGAACTTTTTCACACAATCTCCCTTCTTTCTGTCTATAATTGACATACCCTGTATATTGTATTACTTTTGTATACCCCATGTCGAAATCACTAGTCTCAAGCGTTGTTAACTACTTGTAGCTTTGTTCTGGGTGGTATTTCTTTTTATGAACAATCAAGTTGCTAGGAGCAGAAAAGGCCATTGCACAATGGTTACATTTATATGGTCGTAGCCCAGTATGGATGTTCATATGATATTTCAGGTGCTGAGGTTGTTTGAAGCCCTTTCTGCAAAGGTGACAAACATGAGGCCTTCGGACATCTGCACTTCTTTCACCACTTATTGCCATGTGTGTTATGTTATTTGATCCCATATGTTCACTTTGCATATGTCCATAGTCACTTTTATGTATGTTATAGTAGCTATTGCCTGTTGTGTGGTTGTATGGCCTACATGCATGTGGCATATAGGGATGCCTGCCATTATGGGAGAGATCTGTTGTATCTGACTCACATTCTGAAAATACCAAAAATATACAAATATATACTTATAGATGTATTTGTGGCAAACAATCAATTAATGGAAATTGGAATTGTATCTTGCCACCCCTGCAAAATAATGGACTCGACCACTTGTTCTCTTGGACCCACTGGCAAAATATATATAGGCCTACTCATTTTTTTTTTTTTTTTAAATTTTAGTTACATTCATATTTTGTTCAGAATGAGTACAATTACACGCCCGGTGATCGTGAATATGGGACGGAGGGGGAGCAGGCAATTTCTGCTAGGAAATTCAACAAATCTGGAAGAAGATTTATTTTTTCAAGAAAAAGTTTACAATTGAATTGCTAAATGGATAGGCGCACGGTATGGTAGAATATGTTAGGTTTTCTGGGATTTTTTCTGAAACGATACGCATCTAAGGTATGAGATCTATTAAAAAAGGCGCAAGGCCATCAACAGGCACAAATCAACGTTTTTGCTTGAATCAAGCAACAATGGTCTGGATGACCTGTAATAAATACTTGTAAGTGATGTTATCATAACTAAATTAATGTCATTGCTGAATTTATAAAATAAGTTTCCATATGTGAAATAAAAAATAATCGAAAATAATGAATTTGGGACGGAGGGGGGGAGGGGACGGAGGGGGGGAGCAATATGTATATAAGACATGATTAGAGATGTTTCGCGACTTTAAGTCCTTTTACTCCAAATGTCCCCATTTTTCAGTCTCCAGGGGTATATCATCCAGTTTCTTACTAAGTTAATGAGTTCATTTTTCAAATACAAGAATTCGTGTGAAGTTGTTTCACTTTATAGAATTATTACTCCCCCCTCCGTCCCCTCCCCCTCCGTCCCCTCCCCCTCCGTCCCCTCCCCCTCCGTCCCATTTTAATTATTTTCGATTATTTTTTATTTTACGTATGGAAACTTATTTTATAAATTCAGCAATGACATTAATTTAGTTATGATAAGATCACTTACAAGTATTTATTACAGGTCGTGTAGTCCATTGTTGCTTGATTTATAGCAAAAACTTTGACTTTTGCACGTTGGTTGCATTGCGCCTTTTTTAATAGATCTTATATCTTAAAAGAGTATCGGTTGAAAAATAATCCTAGAATACCTAACATATTTTATCATACCGTGCGCTTATTCAATTTGCAATTCAATCGTAAACTCTGTCTTGAAAAAATAATTTTACCAGATTTGTTGAATTTTCTAGTAGAAATTGCCTGCTCCCCCCTCCGTCCCATATCTACGATCACGGGGCGTGAATTATATGCATGAAATATAAACCAAAAAGACAATGATACATACTAGTACAAATTACATTTCTAATACATACTTGAATATCCATTTAAATAGTGTTACATTTTTTGTCATTTTAAAAAATTGTGAATAATATATCGAGTTTGTGATAAATCCATTTGTTATGTTAAAATTTTTCCAGTTTTCTTTTTATTCTGAATATTTGCACCAGTTATACAGGGTTTCTCAAAAAAGGAACCCGAAATTGAATTGCTAATTTCTCAAAGATGAACAATCTTAAGGAAAATTCGCCAGTACCATCATTTGCGTCATTATGTCCTCTTTCATATGATACCAAGATGTTCTATTTTCTTCCACTGATGACTGAGCAATGTCCCATTTCTGGCATGGTCACTTAAATCCCTTAGGACTCAATTATCTGTCAAAGAAAATAGCCAACCTTGGCATCATAAGAAAGACAAGTCTGCATACACGATTTTAGGACCGATAATCCAAAATGGACACCTTAATATTTATCCAGAATGCCCAAAAAATCAGTTCTCGATCATCCTGAAAACTTGAAATTGATCCCTCAAACAGTTAACCTGAAAATGTGTAGACAGGACTTTACATACAACATTTGATGATGGAAAATCCAAAATGGCTGCCTTAACCTTTAGCCAGTTTGCCACAAACTGATCAGTTCTAGATTTTCTTTCTAAAAACCATCCCTGAGAAATCAATCCTTCAAATGGTTATTCTGAAAATGAGTAGACAAGCCTTTACAGACACAATTCTAAGACGGGAATGAGGCTAACATGACAAAATGTCATGACCTAGTTGCTCTCAATATTATTAGTTCAATCTTATGTCAGATTTGCATTTCTGAAAACTCTGTAGATGATTTTGAAGAAAGTTGAAGTCAGTCTAAAAAGTATTTGTTAAGTTATTGGAAGTTATAAGAATTTGTTACAGATGCCGATACAGTCCTGAAATCCATCCCTGAAAATTTAAAATTGATCCATCAAACAGTTAACGCGAAGACAAGACTTTACAGACAAGATTTTAGGACGGAAAATTCAAAATGTCTCCCTTGACATTTACCCAGAATATACCGAAAAACTGATGTTCGAGTAATACTAAGAATCATCCCTGAAAATTTGAAATTGATCTACTAAACTGTTCACCTGAAAACGTGTAGACAAGAGCTTACAGACAAGATTTTAGATATGGAAAAATCCAAAATGGGCGACAATAAAAAAAATAGTTATGAGTTTATTACGGATTTCTTTTAACAAAATTATGGCATAGAACTACTGTTAACAACATAGGCTTTTACAACACAGGACACCTGAAATTATTTATAACACCCCGCCAGTCACATTTGTCGTACGGAGGCCGTGTGTCGACCGCAGATCAATTAAATCAGTGAATTTCTGCGACGAGCGTAGAAAAACTACGCTCGCCTTGCGGCCTCCGTACGGTGTATCAAGTTTTTTACAGGTCGCATGGTTGCCGTAGAAATTATAACTTGGAGTTATAATATGTGTTCATTTCTGAGGTCCCTGTAGAAATCAACTGGCTCAACAAGATTGAATCATTATTTGTCAATGTTTCACGATCACTTTTCATTTGATGTACATTCTAGCACTATGAATAACATTTATAAATTGTCCTGATGTAAATATAAAATGAAAAAAGTATTATTTATCAACGGAATTTAAAATTCACTGTGCGGCTGCCGTGGGAAATGTGACTGCAAAAGTATGAGAGCGCAGAAATTCTCCGGCGAGCATAGAAAAGCTACTGGCCGCATAGACCGCACGGCCGACGTGGGAAATGTGACTGGGGTGTTAAGCAATAGTGCAATAGTCATGGCTGGCCAATAGTTTGGCTGTAGCTAAAAAGACTGGCATTTCTCCAAACTCCATTATAGGCTATTTGGTTGCAATACCAATGAGCACTATCAATTTCCAGAATGACAACTGCAACTATAACAATATTATCCATGTCACCTCAGCACTCAGTTATTACGTACGATAACGGGCCTTGTAAAAGCTTGTACAGGCCTCGAAATTACAAGCCTCGTACATGCTCGCAGGGGCCTCGAAAAGAACAATTACGAGAATAATACGAGCTTGTATATATATCTTTTATTGACTCTTTAGATGTCATGACCTGACATATTAGTCATTACAAAATGAAATTTTACAAAACTACACTACACTACACTACACTAATATATACAATTTATACAAAAAACTTGTTATTTACATATGTTATAATATACTTTAGGTGTGATCGATGCATCCAAAAAGTTAATCTCCAGGCAAGTTTAAGTTTTTGAATGATTTTGTAATAAAACTTCCAACTTGCTTTTGCACATATTTATCTTTTGAAGATATTAACATAATGAATGTATTTTCAGGATCATGTTGATCAACATTAATTTTGCTAGTGATGTTGTCAAACAATATTTTTCTATTTTCTCTATGTAAATGGCATTTAATCATGAAATGAACCTCATTTTCTATTTCCCCACAAAAGTTACATAATCGTTCATATTCAGGTTTTTGCCATGGTTTTACATATACCCAGTTCTATTTGTAATTTATGTGAACTTAATCTCAGTTGTGAAATTGATTGCCTGTGATTTTTGTTTTGAAGGCTTAAATATTGTTCTCTTTCAAAAGTTGTTTTGAATTTAATGTATGTTCTTAAAACTGGGTATAATTGTAAATCACACTTCCATTTCTCCTTATAATTTTGGTACAATGTTTTAGTTAGGTTCTTTTTAAATACATAGTCATCCTCAACAACTTGTTCATTCCAAGTGCTTTGGAGATTACAATCTTTTAAAATATTATGAACCTTACTTGACCAAGTATTTTTAAATCCTAAACTGTACATTTCATAATCATATAGATATGCTTTATAAAGGAGGTTATCTGGACAAAGTTGTATAAGCCATATCCAATATTTAATAAAATGAATATCAAAGCACACACTAAGGGAAAACGACCCAGCTCTCCATAGACTGCTAGGGTTGCAGTTGATGTTTTCACACCAAGAATGCTTTTTAAAAAGGACAGGTGAATAGTTTCAAGTGACTTGATATGTTTTTTGTACAGGTCTCGAAAATGAGCTTCGTACGAGCACGTACGAGGATTGTGCTCCTTTTTGGCCATAATGACTCGTAATCCTCGAGGCTTGTACGTACAAACTCGTACGGGGCCCAATATAATTTGCATGTGTAGAAGAAATCCATTGCAAAGACCAGCTCCACGTTCTGGTCTCAGGATTTTCTAAATAGCTGAATAACGCTGACATAATAGATGTCACCCTTGTTTGTCTTTGATTTTTTTGGGCCACACCTCCATTCAGTTCAATGCTAGAAACTTGCAATAGTCACTTAATTTCATGATTTGTCAAAAAGTGTTGATTGAATCTGTCTGAAACTCGAATGGCATATCTATCGGATAAAAAATGTTAATGTACATACATGTATTGTGATTAAACATGAAAATGTTGGTTGTCATACGAATAAGCCAAGGTTTTAATGAATCTAGCATTGCACCAGATGGAGATTTGGCCCAAGTTTTTTTTAAATGTCATGGAAAATGATTTAAATGACATAACTGTGTAAATCAAACTTATTATCCGAGAAAACTTGTCACTGAATTCAAATATGCTATCAAAAATAAAGTAAAGTAATTGTCATTAGAGGAAGAACGTGCAAATCTCTAAAAATCTCATGAGAAAACGAGATTTAGAGAGATTTGAAAGCTATTTAGAAACTACTCTATTGAATTAATTATTTCAAAAGCCGATAATGATAATTTTCACCACTAGCAAGACAAAGATGCATCCAATACATTCTCCTGAAGTCACAAAAGTTTCTGTAAACTCAAACTGCAGGGATGTTCACTTCAGTCTTGGAAGTAAAGAACAATGTATTAATAGTTAAATGATTTCACCAAATCTATTAGATTTCATTCTTTCAAAAGGATTTAAAATCTACAAGACACAAATAACAAGTATCTATATTACTGAAAGGACACATTCTTGGGAACTTAGAAAGGTTAAAAGGTATTTTTGCCTTTGACAACTATTCTTGGGAGACATTTTGAAACAACAGGCAGGATTTATCAATTAAAAAAGTGAGTTGAACACCGGCCTCTACA